ATGGATTCTGTTCTGCAACTATTACGGTCGACAGGAGAGGTTAGGACTAAGAGTCCAAATGGTCAGCTTGATGTGATATATTTCAGTCTGCACCAGCAAGAGAGCATCGTCTTCTACGAACTAGAGGGAGCAACACTTCAATCAGTTCAGACTCACTTGGATTTAGGCGTCATAGTTAGCCACAATTTAAAAACTGCAGCACACTGTCGCGCGGTGGATGCACGTAGTTTCGGGTCCTTATGAGCAATTCGTAGAGCCTTTACTAGAATCACTGGAGATATGTTCACCTCTTTATATACATCTCTGGTGAGGTCAAGTCTGGAAAGCTGTATCCAGGCCGCCAGTCCTTGTCTAAAAGGGGACTCACACATTCCAGAAAGGGTTCAAAGGAAGGCAACACGTATGTTTTTCTGCATGACTAACTTATCATACGTGGAAAGAATAGACAGTTTAAATCCTTTCTCCCTGTCATACCATGGGCAGAGAGGAGATTTAATCACAATGTTTAAAATTTTAAATAATGACTAAGGACCTGACCTATTGTCTCTTTCCCTTCCCATCAAGTCGGAACACCTTAGAGGACATAGCAGTAGGGTTCAAAAGTCGGGAAGAAATCATACTGCTGTTGAGTGTTGGTTCTCGCACCGAGTCATAAACTCCTGGAACCGACTCCCAGAACAACTGGTGTCTGCAACCTTAACTGATTCATTCAAGAAGGATTTGGACAACCACAGAAATTTTATTATTATTATTGTATCCTTTAGTTCCTAGAGGAACATAGGGCTTCAGCTGCGCACCTCCATTGCCTTCTGTTTTCTGACAACTTTTCACCCCGCTCCAAGTCCGGTCCACATGCTTTCCTCTCCTCTTCACATGACCTCCTCCAAGTCACCCTCACACTGGCGACCAACTCACCGCTTGCCTTTCGGCCAGGTTCCACTCGAGCAATGGCTTGTCTAGTGATGTCACTTGATGGTTTCCTCAGAGTATGGCCAGTCCATCTCCATTTCTTCCTGCCTATTTGTTTCACAATCGGTTCCTGCTGAGTTGGTTCGCTCATCGCCAGAGATCCCTGTTGCTGATCTTTTCTGGCCGGCCATCTGATCTTGAGTAGTATTGAGCGAAGACAGCTAGCTGTTAATGAAGGTCTGAAGTTTCTTTGAGATGCTCTTTATGACTCGCCAAGTCTCTGATCCGTATAGTAGCACTGACTTTACATTGGAGTTGAAAATCCGGATCTTATTTTTGATGCTGAGTGCTGTTGACCTCCACACGGATTTGAGAGTAATGAAAGCTTGTCTTGCTTTTCCGATTCTGGCTTTGATATCCTCGTCAGTTCCTCGCCTGTAGTTGAGACGATGCTTCCCAGGTAGGTGAAGGAGGCTGTTTCTTTCAGGTTCCTCCCATTTATCTGGCTGATTGTTGTCTGTTGTTGTTGGTGTGGCTGTTGATGTTGGCCAGGAATCTTCATCACCTCTGTTTTATCTGTGTTCACAGAAATTTACTAGAAAATAATTAACATAGGCTCCAAGCCTTCTATCCTCAATCAATAAATCTGAAATTGGAGCGTTCACACTCCTGGGTCTCTTTTGGTGAACTTTGGTCATCATCCAACTGACCTTCAGCTAGATAGCGTGTATTTCTTGGAGGAAGGGGACAAAGCAGGCATATCATCATAATGGAATGGCTTGTGTGGCAGCCCAGAGACCACTGTGTCACAGGATACACTGTCAAACAATATATCACTTGAAGATACTGTGTGAAGGGAAATATCATGCAATGAACTCCCCTGTAAATTCTATACGCCTTGTAAATACTGTCCAGAATGAAGATATTATTATTATTATTATTATTATTATTAGACATATACGAAGGAATCATTTCGGTTATATGAATGGATTGTGGTAACTGACAATGTGTCTTACAGTAGTGTTCACTCACTTACTGTCGTTTGTTAATATTTATTATACGAATTACAAATAATTCTGCCAAACACTAATAAGGCGCGCTCCTTGAATACGACATGCTTTTATCTCTCCAACCGAAAAATACCTATTTTGTGAATTATCCGCTTAGGAAACCTGATCTTCCTAGCCGGTGAATTAAATTCAACCATTACTTACATATTGAATCTATGTGTGGTAAGTCCAGCTATCCTGAACTACTGCCAAAGCTTCAGGTGCCACTTCTGTAGTAGCATCTTCCTCACTCGTTCAGATAAACAAGACTTGTTGGTTTACCACTTGATTGCTGTGAAGCCGATCATACAGAAAGTACTAGGTAAAGTCAGAAACCTTTTCTTTTCCTTGTCTTGTATTTTTTTCATTTTTATTCTTCTTCTTCTTGTGGGTAGATACTGTTGCACTCTTTTTCGTATATAGCATAAGTCACAGTGATTGTTAATATGGCTGTCGAAAGCAGCCTTAGAAAAAGCAATAAAACACCATATTCTGTAGTGACACAGTTTCGAACACAATTCACTTATTGTTCATAATCATGTCATCAATTATAATCACATGACTTCGAAACTTGAGTTTTTTAGCTTCCTTTGTTCCCTCCTATTTGTCGTAGTGATAGTGGCATTTCACACATGTCAAACTGGACAGGTCTTGAGTCTCTCCTATAACACCTGTTTGCAGTCGATTCGACAAACAAAGCTTCTGTTATCAGTCTCGCCCTCCACCCTGATGTTACATTAGATTTTAAAACTGTCATCCTATCATGTAGTTGTGTGTAATCGCATGTATTTTATTTTTGATTACAGCTCGATTCCATACCGTATTTTTGGTACAAGTGTGGAATTTTCAGCGTGGATATCGGTAGCCGACCATAGATATCAGGTATGCGTCGGCGTAGGCTCGAACCCTGGAACATTTGCATGGTCCACGAGAGTCCTAACGACTGTGCTATCCACAAGTGAATTATTATCCTGATTTTTTATCTTATTTGGGTCAACTTATCTAGATTTTGCTAGGCTTTTATACCCGCCTAGTTTGATTGCCCCTGTTCTACTGCTCTGACGTGACAATCATTGCAGGCAGGCTATCAGGTAAACTATATTGTCTTTTTATAATCAGCTCCACGGGATGATCCTTTAACCGACAAAGCTTGTTTCTAATTGAGTTTGTGGTTGGTTTGAATGCCAGCCACTTTTATTCCTGCCTTGTTAAGAATTCTGAGTAAGGTGGTTTCCGAGGTTCCTTCCTCGGAAGCTTTGTCGGTTGAAAGATCAATCCTGTGGAACCTTTAAAATAAAACAATTTAGTTTATCTAATATCCTGCCTTCAATGAGTGTCAGGTCAAATACATAGGTGAAACTAGTAGAACAGGGGCAGTCAGACTAGCTGAACATAAAAATCAAGATTGGTTGGTCCAAATAAGAAAGGAAATCTAGAAAATAGTTCAGCCATTCCATTGCCGAGAATTCTTCAAAAGGTTTTCCAGGTTCCTTCTCTGTATGGAATTACTGCTGATGATTTCGATTGCTTATTAGTGGTGTTGACATTATCTTCTGCATGATCGATGTGCATGCCACCATTAATATTACTGTTATTATTATTATTATTGCTATTATCACACACCATGGATTCAACTGATAGGCGCCAACCACTAAATGAGAACATATTTGTTTTAGTCATTTTTCATGTTCTCGTTGACCGATTTTGTTTGTCGGAAATGTTCAGCCTTCGTTGACACACTGGCTCCATGTATGGATGCTCCGACAATGTCTGAGGAACGAATCCCACTGATGGCCACTATTCAACAAACAAACAAACAAACAAACAAACAAATAAGAGCCTATCTCATTTCCCCTTCATGTGGTCTTCTGCATGAATCACTGGAACATGCAAACACACACACACCACTCACTCACTCACTCACCAGAATCGTTGATCATCATTCGGGTTCCATAATTCGATTGTCTGCCAAAAGCATCAATCCATTCAAAGGTCTCCTCAGGCTAGTGATTCAATCCACCCCTATCTGATTATACAGAATACTTGTTGAGAAATCTATTCTCGGTTGTTTGATTAACTGAAAATTACTCTTACTGTTTATCATTGTTGGCCGGCCATCTGACCATCAGTATGGAGACAGTGAAGGCAGCTACTGATGAATGTCAAGAGGAACCCGTTGAAGAAGTGCACTCCGTAATGCTCACTTACTTGCCATTAGTAATGTAAAAATGTCTTCCTCCTTCAGCTGACTGCAGTGGGTTTTCAGTAGGATCTCACAATGATGAAAGTTTGTCTTGTTTTCTCAATGCCTAATGTTCCTGAAACGGGTGCTGCATATTAAGAAGACAAATTAAAAGCAGCAGCGTGTCATTGTGAAAGCCGTTACCGCTTACACAGGGATGCGTATACAACCCGCTGATGAGTCCTCAATGCACTCAAAACATGCTTCACAGACGCCACTTCTAATCACCATCAATCAAATAAGGTGTAAATGAAATATCACTATCAGTCATTGCACGTTCATTTCAGATAAGCATTTTCTCTTTTCACAATATCACACACACACACGCTCAGTCTCACTCTGCCTCTTACTACTGAAATACTTACAAACACCGGATCACTCTTGAGCGAGAAACCAACGCGTGTTTATTTCAATAACTAAAATAAAGGAAAGAATTCCAATGTGAAGTTCATGATAACAAGGAGAGAATTCACTCAAAGAAACGCAAGTATAACGCAGACAAGGCTTCATTGTTCACCAAACAATCGGATGATGGTCTGATCATTTTTCACCCGGTTTCATTGTGAAGATATGCGGATTTCTTAAGACACTGTCACTGAAAGAACTGAATAAGAATAATAATATCAAGAACGTTATTAATAATAGTATTGTTAATTAATTAATTAATTAACTGTACTATTATTGGTAGTAGTGACCTTGTAATTATGTTTTGTTTTTATTCTGTTGAGCACACGTCACATAGATTTCACTGAGAATATATAGTATATTATATTTTGTAGATAAACAAGGCAGAATGAAGAAAGAATTCTTCACATTGTTATATTTAGACGTCAATATTTTGAGCTGGTTCTCCTGACAACGTTGAATTCTGTCAATGCATATTTCTATTGGTCGCCTTTAATATATAAACCCTAGTAAATTTTTCTTTTCAGTAAGAAGAAGCCGGAATTGTAAATTATTCGTCTCATTGCAGGAAGGTACGTCTCTCATATTTGTGTGGTCTTCTCAGGTTTTCATGAATCTTCCCCCATCTTACCATTGGTCATTTACCTTACATTCCCTACATTGAGGTTTTCTTCATGTATATTTTTATTTCACATTTTGTGATGTACTACTAATAACACTACTCAAATCAATATTTAAGAAGTAGGTCAGCTTGACTGATCACTAAGGAATAATTATTCTTATGTTGTACAGTCTTAGGCGTTGATTGAAGTTTTTAATGCGGTGAAGAAGATAATCTTTCCCACTCCTGGCATAATGCATTTAGAATTGGTGTCACGCAATTACATTAACTCAGCGTTGAAAAATTGTGCACATGAAACGCCGTTTGCCTAGTACAACTCACCTGACTCATTTTATCATAACGCCTAATTCAACACGAATATGCAGAATTTAGATATTAACTTTTGTAATGCAGATTATGTGAAGAATCGTCACCAGTCAGAGAGAGAGAGAGAGACAGTGGAAGGGAATCAGTGAGGGTCGACAGAATCGTCATTCAACTTTAGGGTTTTCGACTTCATGGATTTTCGTATTGATGAAGTGTTCCACACTAGGTCAAACTATCTGTCCTGTGCTTACTAGATCATTCACAATCGCATAAATTGATGCCTGTTCCTATTTTGATATCGTCCTTGTTGATATTGGAAATCTGTTTCCAAAGTTATTCACTTTCAAATATGAATTGACTTTCAACAATTACTTTACACAATTTAGAGTCTTTCGAACCATGGGGTGAGTTAGTATTGTTGTGCCACCTTATATTTTACAGTACTTTTTTGTTGTGTTCTTGTTTGTGTTCTGGCTGGAACATATGTCTGTAGGCTTTTGAGTTTTGATGTTTCCATGGTAGTGTTGTTCTTTGTTTTTACATGTTAAGGTTAATTAGGATCACTTAGGCCCCACCATTCATCTTCACTGTCAGGGTTTACCACACAAGTCAGTCAGTTAACTGGACAAGGTTGACGAGTGCATCTTTGACATCTTTGGAATCGAATGCCTACTTGTCTTGTGGCTAGACAATAGTATAGCCCTGAACCACTGAAGCGCTATTATACACAGTACAGACTGTTTTCCGTTACTGTTGGTCAACTAAGAGTATGCGTTTCATAATACCAACACATGGAAACAAATATGCCAGCTGACACGTGACATTGTTGAATACAATTTCATGCATTCAAACTGCCTACTGAAGGCAGTGAGGCAATGCTTGTTAAGCAATCACTTCTGCTTACGTGGAATTCTGACCAAAGCCTTTCTTTTGTCGTACTAATTGCAGACATTGGAAGGTTCTATTTCTCATAACCACTCAATCTTTGGTTTCTACTTGCTTACACATGAACTGGTTGATGCATGTGAATTTATATTCTTGACACTGTCGAATGGGTTTCAATTATTCTCATTCATGAGTTACGAGTGGAAAATGGGGTCAACATACCACATCTCCAGTGCATTTCCCTCACTCTTATCTGCCCCAGTGACTGCACATATTTTTGCATTTTCACTTCAGGTGATCTTCACAGTGTCACTTTCTAACTCAAGGTTAACTCGTCAAATCCCATTCGGGCTTTACTTGACAACCCGCCCTCCGTGTAATGTCACTTAAATGTCTCCTCAGCGCTTATGTACGATCCACCTCCATTCTTTTTACTGTATATTTGTTACGCAGAGGTTTCTCAGTTAGTTCATAGTCTCCAAGAGTTCCTCGTTGTCTACCTTTTCTGGATTGACATCTGACTGTGAGTAACCAGTGGTAGAGGAATCTGTTGGTTGAAGATTTTGCAGCAGTCAGTCGAAAATATTCCCGCTGACATGGGAGCCGAGTTTCGCAGTCTAATGAAAACTAACATGTCTGAAGTGAATTGATTCAGAGAAGGACGAGAGATTTATTGTCAATTACCAATTAAATCTAATCACATTGAACAATGAGGCATAATTACCGACGAGCAGAGAAAGTCATTTAGTCTGAGCTACGTTAGGTTAGATTCCTTCAATTTTTGTTTACATATGACTCTGAGCATACTAATAGTCATCTCAACTGAAAAATATTCACTCCTCAAAATACTTGATTTGTTTTGTTTCGTCTTCCCCTCACAGAATTTTAACTCTGAGTGCATTAGTCATACTCCAGAGTATAATTATCTCTACTGAAGCTGATAAGACCTTCTTACTACATGTACGTTGGCTTCCAACTCACTGTTACCACAGAGAGGTAAGTGAATGTGTTTGATCAAAATTATTGTGGAATCATTTCACATTTCGGAATTTGATTGTAATTTTCATGTTTCATTTATTAAGCATGTGCATAGCAATTGAAGATTAGAAATGACTTCACCTAGCCAGGTCTTTTTTGTTTGTTTACCCAAGTGTATTAGCAACTAAACAGGAACTGCATCTAGTCAGTCTACTCATTTATTGATCGTTCATCACACGTCTAAGACTATATAGATACATTCTTCATTGTCTGGAGACCATTTGGAACAAGTTTGATTTCACTCAGCGAAGGTTGAAGGGGAGTGATTGGAGCCCGTGGAATCCGACTACCCAGACCTAGTAGTATACCAGCGCAACTAAAAGATTCATTTGGATTATTTGAGTCCTGTTTTGATCCAGACTTTCTGACAATACGGCAAAATCTCAATTTCATCTAAGGATAGAACTTGATCACGGTGGTAGAGTGTGATTCAGCTTTGTGTCACAGCTTTCACCAGTAGTAGTTGCTGAAAGTTTCTGACGTTTCGAACAGAATTTATCTGTCATAATCGCTTCAGTCGCTCATATCTCAATTTCACTTTTGATGTTCCATGTGTATGTAGCTAGATTTATCGGAATATTTGTGATGATATTCATTCGTATAGAGGCAGTTTCACTTGGGAAGACAATACTCATCACATGATGCTAATTTTTCCCTTGAGTTTGGAGTGGAACGCAACGGCTTCAGTAGAACACCAGCATTTCGTCCTTTTTCTCGCTGCCTCTCATGGTGCGCTCCATGGCTACCTATAAACTCTCGTTTTCACATGACACTATCTGATGTATCTTATCCTCATAACTTTGTCCAAATCTTCGCTACTTACTGGTTTTCCATTCGCGCACGCGACGCTCAGTGCCATTCAATGGTCGCATCACGGTCTTTCCAGTCCATCTCCTCTTCCTTATGCATATTTGTTGGCTGTCAGTTTCTTAGTTTCTCGTTTATTGAGGCTTCTATTGCTTATCCTCTCCATCCTGCCATCTGATCTTCACTATCGAGGTAGTGAGGGCAGATGTTGGAAAACGTCTGCAGCGGTCCACTGAAAACGCATATCTTCACAGTGTTCCACATCTTTGAACCATTTACGAGAACCGACTTCACACTAGTGTTGAAAATCTCAGTCCTGTACTTTATAATTACCATACCCGTGATTCAGGTGTTCTGAGTTGATTCCACCACGTCAGCGAAGTCCTGTGGAATGCCTTGATGATGTGATCGATAACAGATAAGCGAAAAGACAATCTGATACTCCTATCACTTCCATTTTCTCAGTAGGCAGTGACATTTAGTGTGAATGGTGTCCACCTGGTTATATAGGTCGGTAGCATTTACTGTCACGAAATATTTATTTAGTAATTGTGGATGATGGATGGCTGGCTATCATTCTTCCTTTAAACCACTGACCCAACGTCTCACATCCTGCATTACTAAGCGTAAGGTTATTCAATTTTTTGTGCTACATGTCAGGAGATGGAGTAGTTGAGTTAATCTGTACAATACTTCCTTAGCCAGTTATATCCTTTCCACTCCCCCCATTCATTAGATATTCATTCCGGATAAGTTAGGAAAAATAGATATTTCGCAAACGCGATTTTCAAACACCTGGTGAATTCAGGTCGCTCAAATTCACTAAACAGGTCTTTTAGGATTATCTTAAAGATAAGACTGAATGGTACAATGGATCTTAGGTTCCAGTAATGGCGTATGACAGATGCCCTGATGGTTCACCAATATAACGCCGAATTCTATGTGCAGAAAAGGCATTCTAATTCTTAGCAGAATAAAATGGTACCATCTTTTATTTCATTGCCTTCTCGTCAGCTGCTTACATGGCAGAGACATTATTAAATATATCTACAACAAAAATTTTGACATACTTGCACAGAGTTCATTTCAAACCAAAATAAGTCGACCAATATACTCATACACTAAAAATATATACATGTATAAATATGCAATATCAACCACTATTCCGAACAATAATAATCATACACAATGGAAACTTTTAGCATCTCACATTCGGAGGAAAGAGAGGTGAAATTATCCAGTTACCAGACAGGGCAAAGAAAGACTGATAACCGCTTCTTTCTGGACGCCTAAATCAGGTTTCCGGCGCTTGATGGAAATGGCTTCAGCAAACTTATGGAGAATTGAGCTCTATTACCCATTGATAATTTTAAACGACTTTTCGACGTCCATCTCATGACCCGTGTCGAGGAGATGACTGGCGATGGCACTGTTCAAATTATTTGTTCCCTCTAGACGTAAGCTTTTTGGTACATGCTCAGAAAATCGTAGATATGCCCTTCTTTCTGTCCTTCCAATGTAACTGCTCCCGCAGATACATGTAAATTTGTTTATACAGTTGGAGGTAACATGAGAAGGATATCTATCGATTTTTGATTGCACCACAGAAGAGCAAGTTGTTCGATAGACGGGAACGGCCTTAGCTGCAGGATAGGCTACGGCTAGTGATGTACTCAGCCTTCTGTTGATCATCGCTGCAATCTATTCACCTTTATAATCAAGCTGAACGTAGACAAGAAGGCAACGAAATAAAAGATGGTACCATTTTATTCTGCTAAAACTGTAGTTATTGCTTTGTTTAAATTCATTAAGGGGAATAAATGTATGACATTCTGAGCCTCTTAATTTATTATTGTCCTAAACTCCTTCTCAACTACTGATATCTATTTTGAGGAGATAATTCATGAGTATCACTCTAATGTGTTCATTTCGACCACCACTACACCTGTCAAGTAGATACTCAACCACCTCACTTCTCATCGAATCACAATCATCACCCTCCATTGTGCCATTGACTACGACGTGATTTCGTATCTATGGTGACCACTTGTGAGTTACTCTATTAACAATTTAAAGCTCCGTTTGAAACTCACTGATAGACTAGTAAACCATTTTCAGTGAACTCTGATAGAATCACACACACGAACTTTGAAGATCACTTCGTCGTTTCTCCGTTCAGCTGTCTTTCACTTTGTTTTTCACTTCTAGTGTCAAGTGGAAGATGGTCAGAGATGGGATATTGCGAAACTCAGGTAATCACGATAATAGTCAATATGATACTATTGTCAATTTTCTCTATTCACTTTTGTTCAATCAACAGATTCATTCATTATTGTTGTCATAGTAACTGAGTATTAAGGATTGATAATGTGATATGCTAATCATTTCTAAATGGAATCTTCACAAGTATCTTCATTCCAGTTATCGATGCCACTGACGATACACAGTTGAGTCTGTGAATTACTGTAGTTAAAACAAGGATGAATTAGACCTGGCTTTGTATGCTTTCTGAAATATGTAGGAATTGTACAGCTACAAACTTGGTAATGAATGTGATAGGAGAGATACAAAGTCAACTCTCGAGAGATAACTTTTCGCACAGATTGGCCATGATGTCAGCATACGGAAACCTACCAATCAAACAGAAGACGAGTGATTCGCCGGCAAATGCGTGGTTGCCAGGCTGGCAGTCTAGTAAAGCCCACCCACGAGAAGTTAGCCTGGTAGATTTTAGTGTTCCCGTATCACTCCTAATCACTGATTATGGTCTTTATCCACTGCCTCAAAATTAACCGGTAGTCGTCACATGCCAATCGCAGAAATAGACAAGGGTGAGCGAGTGCCACTGAAACTGTCGGCTGTCATCATTTCTTTCTATCACGAATGACACATTCCCCTGAGTCATCTGTTCATTTGTGCACAGATCTCACTGATGCATGGGCTTGGTAATCAAAGAATCTGTGTACATTCAGCCAAGACATTCATAGACTTAGTCAGAGCTAAAGCTATTCATTCTGAACACTGTAGGGATTGTGAAGAATTCACTTGTACAAGGAGAGTTTAGCAAATTATTTTGGAAAAATTGTTTCAACATGACACATAATTATGCTGTAACGGGTTAGGCTAAAATATAGCGACTCGGGGGAACAAACACTCAGACGACGCCGTCGTAAACACGTGCGAATTTAAATGAAGTATACTGACTGTGTTCCAGATATTATCCAGACGTAGTATTTCACTACAGAATTGTGGGATGCAATACAACATGAATTTACAGAGATATGGAGTGCCTGTTCATGAATATGGAGCAGTTGAGGCAGTCACCATCACTCGACCATGTTCACAACACAATCACCTCGATAAATTCATGAACTGAAATTGGTTCGGAATAACACACTGAAGACGTCTGTGAGTAATTATCCAGTTAACTGTAAGACATTCTGAGAAAAAATAAGACGCTGCTACTCCGCATGGCTATTTTTACTACTCAATTTGATTTCCACAGAAGAGGGTTCTCGAATTGCGTGTTTTGAAATATGCTCCTCTCGTTGTTTGCATCGGGTCATTTTGATGATCACTCGCCTCGACCAGCATACTTTACCTTAACCCTATAATGGAATACAGTTATAAAGACGTGATAATAGTAGTCATACTAATATTAAGAATAATGCTGGTTTTATTCGGGACACAACATTTACATAATACACCGAAACTTCAGCATGCTTTACTGCATACTGTTTTCCCTTCATCAAGGATCTTCAGGTATCAAAGCATTCCAAAGTATACCGTTCGATCTGGGGCATGAATTGATCCCTTGTGATATTTCTCCTTCATTCTCGAGAAGAGAGCACTACTAGTTTGAAAGCAAACAGAAAATGTGCCTGAGTACAGTCTGTGACCCAGATGCACCATTGAATGATTGACGCCATAAGAAATAAAGAAAATGTGAGTCACTGTGCAGGATGGAAATTCACACATGTGTCGCTCATTGGCTTAAATACTCACATTTCAACCAATAAGTGTCGACTTCGAATCTCGCTCCACTTGATTCAACTAGATAGTGTCACTAGCCCGCTTCGCACAAATAAGTGTCGTTCATATCCTAGTAAATGAGAAATCTCCTCTTGGTAAGTGAAATCTACCACCTCTATTTAGACAAAGGGTTAAAGTCCTCTTAACCTGTTTGAGAAGACTATGGGAATTTCTTTTCTTTTCAGAGTGGTGCCTCAGCTTGACTGGTTCAGCGACAAATGTCCATATTCAACTAGCTTTTGGCATTATAACTTGGTGAGTTAAATATCTTCTTGTTGGCCGACATTATTCAGGCGACATTCGTTAAACAGACCAAATGCAGCTAAACATTTGGTTAGAATGTAGATTGAATTTGAATATTTTGTTGGTGTTAGTTTGCAGGAATTCGATTGACTACAGGTCTGATAATGAGATGACACCAGTTATAGAGTTAATGGAAATCCGCCAGGGAGTACTGGACAGGTGTTCAAGCGTAGTTTGGCACTGACCCTTCCACAGTAATCACACACTGACCGGTGTTCCAAATGAGGACCTAGGACGAAACTACTGTCCAATACTACATGGTTTTTTGAATGTTCTCCAACTGGTGTCAGTCAGTGATCAAACCTGAAATTTGAATTGACCCGAAATAAATATTTCGTCAGCGACTGCTCACTGCCGACTACTATTAACATTGAATTTCTCCTCAACAGATACCCACAGTTTTTCAAAGCTTAAATTAGGCTTCAGCATCACTGTACAACGTACACTGAGTCTCTCGGAAATAACTACATAATGTCTGCGCATACTATATAGCTTCAGTCTACTTCACGTGGATTTATTCCTATTTGAAAACAACTGAGGAGAGTGCACCTACGAATTCACGAGGGATTGATATAATCGTCTTCGTTTCAACAGACCAGTCTGTTGACCATTCAACTCCTGGACATGTTATCCATAAATCTGTGAACTCCACCGCCTGTCGGTTCGTGATATGGCGCCATTGTCTTTAGTTAGTATCTGTCATCATACTCAACTGACTGGACTCAGTGGTAACGTTACTGACTGAAGCTTTGGATGAACACGATTCGAATTTACGAAGATATTTCAGTGGAATTCTTTTGAGGCTGTAGAAAATCTCCACTAAACAGTGTCTACATGAACGAAGGTTAAATTCGAAGCTTCACTTCAATTTGCCTTCATCTCTCTGAATCAACTTATATACATAGTAACTTCAGTTTATGGGCGATGGAATGCCTTCAAATCGAAGGTAGACATGAGATGAGGCTGCTCACTATCCACCATCTCCCTAATTCTAGATTACATACCGTGACAGACTGATATACATGCCATTGAAACGGCGGAAGTACGACTCCAAATTAAGATATGTCTTCGAGGGTGATATCAAGGAGATTGTGTAAGGTAGAAATGAAAATTCATGAACAGTCTCACAGTCATTTGCAAGAGACTGCAGAATACGGAGTGCAGTGGTTTTGTGTTTCTGAACTCGAATGTTCTATCTTGAACCAAACAGTATGCAAATGCTAGTTAAAATAATTGTAAATATAATGCCAGTACAACATATTAACGATTAAATATATTACACAATATCATTGAATTCTAATTTCATTGACAAGTTCATTTCCCAACTTTATTCAGAGCACTATAAATGAATTGTCGAAATATTGGAGCAATCCCTTGGATGAATTCACGCATTAGTAAGTCTGTTAAACAATATCAGCTGAAATATTTTGTTTTCACTCCGTAAACCACTCACAGACGAAATCCATGTACATATTTTGCAGAAATAATACAACTGATGAGGTCATTGCACGAGAGGTGGCTATAATGCCTAGTTAGTCTAATGGACAAGGCTTCGTTGTCTTAGCTAATGCATGACAGGTTCAGATGTCACTGTGAACAGAATAGTTGATTCGGACATACCAGTTTATCCAACCAATTAGTCTCGAAAAGGACGACACATGCACCCTGAATTGTACTGTTAACCAGCATCAACTGAGTTATCAATATTATTACTTTGAAAGTGACGTCTTCTCTTCATGTCTTTTCCTTGCCATTTTTTGCTTCTAGCAACCATCTGTATAGAGACTACGCAGCATGTACCGTTGTCGATAAAAATGGACCAACTCCATATCTTTATTTCAATCGTGGAATAGACCTCTTCAAAATCGTGTCACCTAAATCGTAAGTCGAATGAAACCATTTTCGGCATATTTCTGATTTCAACTACTAACATCCCATTGGGAATGAGGAGGCTTTTACTAATCATCAATTATGCGATTAAGACATGTATATATAATCGGGTGTTGCTCTGCGAGGATTTGATTAGTTACAGCTATGAAGGTTACTTGAGTTGATATCAGCTTGAGAAGAATTGAGAAATCACTAAAGAGTAGTGGAAAGCTTCTTCGTTTCAGCGCTTGAGACTGACTCTTCACCAGTACACATACACTGACAGTACTCGGAAACCAGGACCTTCCCGTTACAAAATAAGAATACACTTTCTCGCGTATGATACTGCAAGTGCGGCTGCGTTATATACATCGCTAGTAGATAGAAGTTGGAACACATGGATTGACCAGAGGATAGGGTCCTGATAGTTGAGTGGCCTGCGACTTCACCTTGAAACTAGGAGGTACTGAGTATGAACCTTGTTGGTGAGTGCGTACTGTGAAGGGCCACTCTCAATCATTAGGACGAAACAGCTGTCCAGTACTCCTCCGTGGCTTTCATGTGCTTCTCTCACTGATGTCGACTCGCCGTCAAACCACCAAATACGTGTTAGCATTTTCAGACAAATTATTTCACACAAGACTGAATGGCATCTGTTATTAGATAAGGAAGGCTATGCCTTTATGTCCAGCTAAATTACATCCTGAAGTAGTCACATTACAATCTCATAGATCTGACATCGATATGTTTGAATTAATCGAGTAATACTTAATTCAAGACATCTTTCAACGGGACAGTTTTAGAAGTAGAAAGACAGCACTTCTTAACACACAGATCTCCGAAGGACAACAGCATATCACTCATCACTTAGTTATTCGCCCCCCCCTACCGAGAAGAAACCAAAGGCTGCTTAAGGAGGCAGAACCGATTCATCATGGAAAGCGACAGGTGTCAATCAAATCAATGCAGCTATTTATATAGTTGCTTTACGTGACCGATAACTTGCATGTGTATTGAGTGTGAGCTGTCTTCTGATTGGTTGACAACTACTCACCGATATGAATTCAGTGATACGATGTTTTGTCTAGGTGAAGACTGAGTGTTCAGGACTGTAAGTAACCGTCATGTTGTTGAGTTATTCAGAAGACACGTTTATGAGTCAACTAGTGTTTAGATATATTCATTTCATTGCGTCTGAATGGTCTTAGAACATGTCGTCTTCGTTCAGTCATGTTCAGCTGACAACCCACAGACCATGCACAGACTTGTGATAATGTCCATTCTAACACTATCAGCCAGATAGTTTGAAGAAAGCGCATACAAATATCATAATTGAATTAAAACAACTCTAGGAGACGAGTATCAAACTGAACATGAATCCAAGGCATTCAAGTGTGAATTAAACAAATGTAGTTTTCTGTGATTAAACTTAACACAAGTGTTATGTAATAATCAATTTCACAGCATCCAATAATTACAGTTCGATTGCATCAATTAAAACATTCATCCTTAACTAAACTAACGAAGCAACTTTTTTTTATTTCCGCTTTATTCAAACACGATGAATGACAGAATATCGATCAAAGAAGGTGAAACTTACTCAGTAAGATAATTTTAATTCTATGCAATGAATTTGAAGTATAAAATATGTGACTTCAAAAGTGTTGAATCAGATGCAGTTGTCAGCTGATAACAGTGAATGCCTTGACAGTGTCAAAATCATTTCCATAGTCAACAAGATGCTTTGACATTCAACTATTAGGCACTTTGACCTCATACGTTTCCAGCCACTTTAGCAAATGTTTCATCATATGAGTAGAAAATCGCCTTTCCCTACGATCAATATATTCGCTTTCACAGGCACACTCAAATTGATATATGCATTTCGATGTGTCGGTGACTGACAACTGGCCTTCGCCAGATCGTTGAAGCACCCACTAGGTGGTGTTTAGGAGGAAGCATTATGCATCATACTGTACTTCCCTGATAGCTAAATCAAGTCTTCGTTTGACTACCTCTCGTAGGGGGAAGGGGCAACTGCAGCCCGACAATCTCAAGTATAGTTACTCAGTACTAGAATGTCTCAGTAGACTAGCGGTCAATATCTGAACAATATATTAAGAAACGTGAGTAGTTTCACAAAACTTGTCAATTAATTCTTTATTTCTTGACAAAGTGCTAATGATTTTCTCTCCTGAATTATTTGATCTTTCAATTTAATTAGACCAAAGATTTCGAGCATTCGTTGTTGAACAAATATCATGCTCAACCTAAAGTCATCTGTGCTGCTGATGAGGTAAGCGACGAGTAATTCCGCTTCGCAAAATGTTTCTTTTTCATAATGGCCGCTGTAATGCGTTGGGATTATTATTAATAATTTTGTCTTTGTTCGCTTCTCGCCTACTGAGTGGAACATCTCTGTTCTATTCAGTTTTATTCTACCACTTTTAGGAAGTCCGAAAATTGACCACAACAGGCTGGCCTTCCTTTCCTTATCAGAGGGTGTGGTGCCTTATCCACCACCATTTCTATCACAGTATATTTGTTAGGCGACAGGTTGATGGTTGCTTCTCCAACAGACTTCCTTGTCGCTGCCTATACGTCGTGGTTGGATGCATGAACTTCACTTAGGAGCCAGTGAAGAGGGAAGTTGTCGATGTAGGTGTTCAGCCAGTTGTCTTCTATTGTTGCCATCTGCAGTAAATCCAAATTATTCAATACTGTTATATCACCATCGTATTTCGGTATCCTGGAGACGATAACAGACCATGACTGAAAGTGATGATGCAGGCTGTTGTATGTCAGTAGAATTTCGCATTACATCTGCCACTTACATGGACAAAATGAATGTTTATATGAGTTCGTTGAATTAGGAGACCTTATTTCTTGTTTTTCTGTTCTCCTCCTCATTTTCTTCTAGGTTGGTGGAATTTTTCTCCATGAAATAGTCTTCTGTTTCAATGAGCATTCAACGCCTGTCGACTGTCCCGCGGAATATTCAAATGACCTCCAAACCTTCATGTATACGTTCAATGAACATCCTGAAAATGACTACAGGAAACAAATTGATCAACAGAAGCTTTGTGGAGATTCATTCACTGTACCGGTATATAAAATGTATTCAAAACCAACAGATGAACCTGTGAAAAATGCTCATTCAGAAGATACTTCATCCTCTTTATCAGACATATTTTCAGGTATCTGGAATTGGTTTCGGGGTCTGTAAGACAATTGACTGTGTAAAGGATTGCGAACAAAATATTATGCACAAACAATTTTACTTTGAGTAGATTTAGTGTGATCTCTGCTTTCATTAGCACAAAACTCCTCGTGTGAATTTTCGCTTCTATAACTCTCAACATTTATTTTGAAATTCATTAACATTCGCTTATTCAATAAAAACTGTTTCACTTTTTCTTCTGAATTGTAATTCATAAAGTCTGGAATTAAAGTAGAAAAAATATTATTATTATTATCTTTGACAGTTTCAATGAACTTCTTTATGTGAATTTCACCATGGTTTTCAGCATGACTACATTACTTCAAAACAGAATGACTTAGTTCAGCGCATAGTGACAATCTTCGGTTTTATATCAGCACTTTATATATCAGCATTATATCGTCTGCATATCCAATTTTCAAGGTTTATCTCACTAAGTAAGCGTCTAGTGCTCTTTTTAACAATGACCAGCGTTATTTCAGTACTCAGTGGATTCCTTTCAGGCATATAAAATATTCACTCACCATGATAAGGCATTGTCGACGCACAGGTAAGAATAAGGATGGAGTTATTGTCTGCCTAGGAAGGCAGCATTACGGCACATACGCAGTGCTCCAATGTGGTAGCTTCTAAAAGACAAGACAGAAGACAACAGCAAGAGAGGTGTAGAGGCAGCCAGGAAATATTAATAATTTAAATAAACAATGTACGATGAACTCGGGGTTCATTCCTATTTCTCATTTCTGAGAACTTATAGCCATTGAGTTTTATTATGTTGCATACCAACGGTTTCTATTATTATTATTATTCCATTGCTGTCGCTGTGGATAATAGGGCTTCAACAACACATCTCCAGCTTGTCCTGTTTCCTGCCATCCTCTTCAGCTGGGCCCGGGACTGACCACGATCTCATACATGTCACCCTCACACTGACGACCCACTCTTCGCTTCCCCTTTTGGATTCCACTCGAGTGATCTGGCGTGCGATGTCATTCCGTGGACTACTTAGCATATTCTCACTCCATTTTTACTTTTTCTTACATATTTGTCGAGCGATCGTCTCTTGCCTGCTAGTTGGTTTCCGAAGATTCCTGTCGCTATTTCTTTCTGGCCATTTGATCTTCAGCCAGCCAGCCAGCCAGCCAGCGAAAGCAGCTGTTGACGAAAGTCTGTAACTTGCACTGTAACACTCAGTTCAAGTTTCTGACCCGTATAGAAAGACTGACCGACTTCACATTGGTGTTGAAAATAGGAAACTTCTTCCTTGTGCTGAGGCGGAGTGCAGAAGATTTCCAAACTGATGTCAGGTTGACGAAGGTGTATCTTGCTTTTCACTTCTGACTTCGTCTCTCCCGCTTGTAGTTGAGATGATGCTCCTCAGTTAAGTGAAGGAAGTAACCTCTGTCACATCTCCCGCTGATGGTGATTGGTGTTGGCTGTTGTTGTTGTTGCTGTTAGCTGGTTATTTTCATCACCTCCGCCTTCTAGGTGTTCACCTGCAGTGCTGCTTTTAGCTGCCTCTTCAGTTTGTTTGTTGTTTTCGATCGCAAATCTTCGAGTTTGCGTGACATTAGACATATGTCATCTGCTAAATCTAGATCTTTTACAGTCTTCTTAACTGTGGTTCAGCGTATTCCTGACGAGTGAAATTTCAACCAAACGTGACATATAAGTCCAGATTTCCTAACTCCTTGTTGTCTTTTTTATGTTGGGAGGGATTCTCAGATGAGACAGTATCAGCGTGTCTATTATTCTTTGAACAAACTTTGTTGCGCGAGAGTCTATTGTTTTCTGCAGACGAAAATAATTCTGTTCCACGTATTGGCTACTGGCATCATTTCGTCGGTATACCGAATCACTTCTCGGTTTTGAATAGTCTGTTTCACTGTTCAGATTGTAATTTACAGAGCTGAAGTACCTTGCTTTTAAGTTGTTTTGAGAGCAGTGCGTGCTAAGTCTTCCGTAGTTGTATATTTGTTGACTCATTTTGTGCGTGCACATAGAAGGACCGTGAGCCAATATGTATCCGTTAGGTTGATGGACTTTACGTAACAAGAGAATATATTTCTGTTCACATGGTACCTAGTGGTGTCTCATCTAGTCGCCCATGTGTTTCCATTATTCATTATGGGTCCCGTTCTCAGGTTATTTGTGCCTATAGGCATAATACAACCTCGGCTACTATGGAAATCGTGGGTCTCACTCTGCTGTTCAATCAGCTCAACGCGCCTTGCGTGTCTGCTGGCTGGTGATTTTGCGTGGATAAAACTATTTTTGCTGTTTGTTCTCACCTCGTGTTGTCTGTCGTCCACAGTTTGTCTATTACTCTTAGTTAGTCATATATGGTACCCACTCGTTGGTTGGGAGCTTTGCTTGAGACTGTTTTGACATTTTTGAATTTTGTGATGGAATCGAAAATATCCCCAGATTTCCTAAATTCTTCGGCTATTATACAGCTGTCAAACCTGAAACGTATAGTACATGTGCGGTTTGAGAGGGTGTACTTAAGAGGTTCGCAGCTCTTACCAAGGAGTTCTGAACCAACTTTATGGGCTCATTGTCAGGTATGTTGTCTGTCTGTTTTCGACATAGAACTTTGCACATATGTGCGGCAGTTCGAGTCCCCACACTCCATGTAGCATACAAAGCCAGAGAAGAAAGTAGAAGAAGCGCATAATATAGACAGTAAACAGAGGTGTGAGACAAAGGAATAGTAATAACGAAGAACAAAACAGTTTCAGTGGAAATCATAAGTCACAGGGGGTGGATGAATTTGCGCCATTGAGAAGGATTTTGAACCATATCACCAATTGTGTCCAGCTGCCATTGGTTTTTACCGTGCGAAGGACCCTAACCGGGAAGTCTACACCCTCCTACGTGGATGGCTTAAACTCCTGTTGTGGATTTCATTGACGGGTGAAGCCATGTTTTGGTTTGACCGCCGCCAGCTCTTTTCTAGTCTGTTCCTATATCAGCTAACAGTATCCGCCAAGGAAGGCGATGACTAGGCATACGTAACACATGTCCTAACCATCTCAGTCCATGTAACTTCACAACTTCGCCGATTGATTTCCCCTGCTTACCTTATACCAATTCACACAGGAGATAGAGCGCAGACACCTATGATCAAAGACAGCTGGATCGTCTCATCATGTCTTCCACTCCCAATGGCCAGGTCTCATAGCCATAAAGGGGGACGGAGCGTACTGATGAGCAGTGCACATGCCCTTTGGTCGATAGCCGGATATCAGGTGTTGTACACTAAAGCGTTCTGCTTAGAAGCAAATTTCTCAGCAGCTTCGATCGACAAATAGTCCATGGCGTTCTCTAGCTCCTTAGCACTTTCCAATTCAGTATGGGTAGGTTTAGTCCTCAATCCAAAGAGTTTTAGGAAAGTGAGATCCGCTAGTTCCTTTTTAAGATGTAAGATTGTTTCATGATATTTTCTCCACCGTTAATGTGCTCCACATTTCAAAAGAAGTGCAAACCGTGACAACTGAATGTATCGAATGCTGAAGTAATATATGGACATACATGTTAATATTGTTGATGCTGAATTTATGTACCTGAATTTAATCCGCGAAACTTATAGGAATGTCGAGTCGTATTGAGGTCTTTCACTTAATTAACCTCAGTGGAAGCAGATTTAGCCGCATTTGGAGGAAGACATCCGAGGTTCAGTGACGGATGTTTTACGGCTTGTGACAAAATAAATTTGCATAATCAGTTTTAGGAATTGATTCTACATACAACAACAACAAGCGAAGGTAAGTCCAGTCATCCACTTATAATCATGCAGATATTCTTTGTTCCAGTTTGTGATACCGGATAACTTTAGTTGTGGCCATAGAGTTCTGTTTACTTGAAATGTGGAAGAATTTAAACGTGATGCAATTTGGACACTAGGCGTTTTCCCTCGAATAGTATGAGACAATTCCCAAATGAAGACATTCATCTTGGACTGTACTCAGCCTATACATGTAAATAAACTTGTTTCCGTTGCAGTGAAATAAAATTATATATATAATATTCTTGTGTTCTATTTGTTCTGCATGCGGTAGGACTACAGCATGCTAGACCGCTACTTCCTAGGATATGAACTCGTTACTATGCTTAGATGCAATCCTGTACGAAAACTGTCGATCAGAATAAGTGGTGAATTATAAGTACTTAAGTCAAGCCTAAACATCTGCCTAAAGTTACGCGATTACGTCTCCTGGTCATAGGTGAGTCTGTAGGGACCAATGACAGAAATATGTAAATTTTGTATTTGAAAAATAAGAATAGAACTTAGGCAATCAGGTGGAATTCGATTTCGTATAAGACTATTTGCATTCAAAAGTGGTACACTACTATTATTTAGTTTCACTCAGATAGCATAAGAAAAGTATGGTAAACAGGATGTTGAATATATTCAATGAAAAATAATAACAAGCAAATGTCTGTACACAATTGTTTATCGTAATTATTTCGGCGATGTTGAATTGCTGTGACCCGGGCTGACTGACCTTACCCGACATCTGAAAATAAGTGGAGAAGGTGTATTTTCTAAACCGCCGAAGTAAGAATAAAGTAAAATAAAATTTGAACGCTTTATATTCGCCTACCTTTATTGAAAAAGTTTCATTCTCCTTTCCCATTTTTTGTCATGATAGCATTTTTCTGTGGCTTTCACAGTCACACACATTGTTTATCTTCTAAAGTATAGCACCAAGCAAATAATAGTAATTTAATTTGTCATATACACGGGTGTTTGTGAGGAATGCATGTCATTTCTACCACCACAATCAGTTATGTTATAAATTGCAATCGTGAAGTGTCATAAATTACGACATTTTCGAAAGTTTCGGTCGGCTGATTATTGCACAAGCAATCGGAACAGGTTATCATAAATGTTAAATTGTAAGCACTTCACTAAGGTAACCATCAAAGTTTAGTGACAACACAAACTCCGCTTCATTTTCTGATGATATTTTTGGTTGAACAATGAACATCCTGGATATCAGTAAGTACCATGTCCTCACGTGATAAAACTCTATTCCAGGAGGAGAACTACGTCCTGAGAAACCGCAAAATGGCATTAAACAGAATCACGGATAATACATCGTTGAAAATACATTTACAAGATATACACTTCAAGGGGCTCTGGAGTCCTTGGTATTATACATTTGAAATGTTTAATGCTAGCCATATCGGTCTTATCATGGGAATGATGACATTTCTGATGAAAATGTAGATTTGTTTCGGTGTTTTTCATCAAAGAAATCAG